CTATATGGTAACTTCAGGGCTCCGTGGCAGTTAACCCAGACAAACCTACAGGAACATATAACCCCTAACGGGTGTGAGTAGCCCTGAAATGTGGTTCTGTACTCATATGTGAGTGGGGTGGTGGTGAGCAGGACACTTGCCTGGGGTTACATACCCTCTTTCATGTGCCAGGTTCGAGAAGCCCCTACTCTCAGCCCTCTGTGAGGAAAACACAAATGGACGCTGGATGCTCACTGAGGGCCACGTGCTAGATTAGGTGTTGCCCATCTATTATGCTGTTTAAACCTCACAGCAACTCAGAAGCTCCCACTTTGTGGATGAGGAATCTTAGGCTCCCAGACGGACAGTGACTTGACCCAGGATGCCCAAGGTGACAGGACAGAACTACATACCTGGTCTCCGGAGGCCTTCTGCTCTCAGCCTAGTGCTGTTGGGAAGAGGGGATTTTCATGGGGACAAGGTTATCTGTGACTGAGCAACACTGAGAAGTGTGCGCTACACATTTAGGGAGTGTATTCAGAGATTGGAAAGCCCCTAAGAAGGCCCATGTTGGCAGGTGCCTTGGGGATCACTGAGTCCAATGTTGATTCCTTTAAAATATATGTGTATATATATACATATATATATATATATATATACACCAAATTTCCATTTTAAAAAGTTTTATTGTCACCAAAGGTATCCATATAGTTTGATGAGTCAAAGTTTTAAGACTTGAAACAAAAAACATTTTACACCAACCATCTCCATCCACGATTCTCACCACCTTTCCAGCTTCCAGCCTTTCTAGTCGTAGCCTTTGGTTTTGCCCCTGTGGTTCTTAGTAGAAAGCTTATCCTTATTGTCTTGATTTTTCAGATTTAAACATTATCCAGTGAATTCCTACAATGGAAGATGAGGATTTAGCTTTCTAACAAGTGCACATTTACTGCCAACACACATTTCATCTCTCTCCAGCCTTCCAGCATAGTTACAGCCTAATTTTTGGCACTGTAAATGTTTTAATCTGAGTAATGACATTTTCAATTGTGAAAAGAATTTACGTATCATATTGCTTTTTTCCTGATTTTTATATCATTTTGGCTTTTAAGCCCCTCCCCTAGAGTGGTCTCTTTTTATTCACTTTTTAAAAAATTAAGGTATTATTTATATAGATTAAAATTCATCCTTTTTTAGTGTACAGTTCTATGAGTTTTGACAAAGTATACAGTTGTGTAACTGCCACCACAACCAAGATGCAGAACGGCTCCATCATTTCAAAAAACTCCCCCATTCTCACTTGTAGTCAACTCTTCCCCCACTCCCAGCCCCTGACATCCAGTGGACAGTTTTCTGTTCCTGTAGTTTTGCCTTTGCAGAACTGTCATATAAATGGAGACATCCAATATATGTGGTCTTTTGAGTCTTGTTTCTTTCACTCAGCACAGTGCATTTGAGGTCCACCCAGTAGCCGTGTGCAGCAGTGGTTTGTTCCTTCTTATTGCTGAATAGTTGTCCACTGTGTAGATGTTCCATGGTTTGTCCATTCACCAGTTGAGACATTTAGATTGTTTCCAGTTTTTGACAATTACAGATAAAACCACTATAAATATTCCTGTACAAGTTTTATGTGAAAGTAGGCTTTCCTTTCACTTAGGCAAATTCCTCGCAGTGGGGTTGTGGGGCCATGTGGGAAGTGTATATTTGGTTTTGTAGGAAACTGTCAAGCTTTCCCAAAGTGTCTGCTACCCATTCTGCATTCTCACCAGCAATGGATGAGAGGTTCCACTTGTTCTACATCATTTCCAGTATTTGCCTTAAAAAAAAAGCCATTCTAATAGGTGTATATTGTAATTTTTAGACTATATAAATAGTATTCCTAGCTGAATCATGTAGCATACCATAGTTGTGTATAATTTTGGTTTTTCTTCTTTAAAATTGTTTTTAGTTTTCTCTGTACCTATAATTAATTCACCCAAGCTAACAAAAAAATAAATTTCCTTGCAATACAATTAGACAAATTAGGCTGTTTATCAATATGATCATTTTCCTGGAGACATTACCTCATGGAGCCCTCCATCCTGTTTCCATCTGGACAGGATGCCCTTGAGGCCAGCTACGCAGCTGGGGCCTCCCTTCGCTGTCATTCTGGAGGACGCTTCACTTTTGTTACGTGTGGGAGCCCGTGTTGTTACTCTCTCTTTCGGTGGAGCATAACCTCTGGTTCCTTCCTGAGGGGTTGTCTTGAGATAGTATGTCTGAAAAGGTGTTACTTCATACTTAGCTAAGAGTTTGGCTAGGTTAGAATTCTAGACTAGAAATAATTTTCTCACAGATTTTGAAGATCCTCATTGTTTTCTGACCTCAAAGATTGGTGTTGATGAAAATCGAATTCCTAAAACAGACTTTTTTCTATGTGTTTCCGGAAGTTTTTAGGTTCTTCTCTTCATCCTCAGTGTTTTGAAATCTATTAATGACATAATCTGGGGTGGGTCTCCTTCATCCGTCGTCCTGGACACTTGGTGATTCCTTCTTTTCTGGAAACTCATGTCCCTCGTCTTTGGGAAACTGTCTTAAAAAGCTCACGTACTTACTTGGTCTCTCCCCCTGCCACTTCAAGTGTTGACTCTCTCCCTTTTGGTTTCGCTGTGGGAGCTCCTGATCTCTTCTCTCTGTTCTTTCTGGGGAATGCTTTTTTCACCTTTATCTTCTACACTTTGATTGGATTTTTAATTCCCATGATCATATTTTTGTTTTTAAAGAATTCAGGGGGGGGGAGGGTATAGCTCAGTGGTAGAGCTTGTGCTTAGCATGCATGAGGTCCTGGGTTCAATCCCCAGTATCTCCATTAAAATAAATAAAAACATAAACAAACCTAATTACTGCCCCCCCAACACACAAAAGAATTAGAGATTGCTCTTTGAACAGAGCCTACTCTTGTTTCATAAATGCAAAGTTTTATCTTCCTGAAGACATCAATTATTGTTGGTTTGTAGTCTTTGGGTCTCTGTGCAGCAGACATTGACTGTGGAGACTAGTGCATCGCTGAGCACTTAAGATGTCACTTCACCTTCCCTCTCTCCTTTCTCTCCTTGTCGTGCAGCCCATAGGGGAGACCTTAAGGCCAGTGTGGGGGCAGATGGATAAGTGCTATCCTGTGACTACCCAGGTGGGTAAGGGCTGGGGACCCCTCTTCCCCCGGCGTTGGGTGGCTGTCCTGGGCACCCTTGGGAGGCACACACAGTAAGAGGATGGGCCTGACTCCCACACACTCAGAGCTGTTATGTCACGTCCCATTTCCCTACGCAGAGACACAGAGTCAAGAATGGGAAGAAGCAGGACCCCGAGGTAAGTGAGGCCTGCTCGGAAGGGACCGGGGCTGGGACTCTCTCCTGCCGGGAGTCCCCGGCAGAGTGGCAGGGCCCCTCTAGGAAACTCACAGCCCTACCATGGCCCAAGCTGAGAAGGGAGGGAACTCTGTGGAAAATAAAGAACTATATACACTCCAAGTGTGGAGGATGGGGAGGGGTTAGGTGAGCAGAGGGCCTTTCTGCCTTTTCCTGCCCTCCTGACCCTCCCTGCAGGCCATGACCCCCAAGACAACGGGAGGGCCAAATGATGCTGCCCCCAAGGAGGAGACGGATGTCTTGTCTCAGGATGAGGGCGAGGTGAGGTCCCCAGGGGAGGAAGCGGCCAGCCCAATTCCAGCTGGGCCGAAGGTGGCTGAGGAGGAGGCTGTGTCAGTGCCTCCAGGAGGGGAGGTAAGGAAGCCCCTGCCTCAACTGGGACATCCCAGTATGACTCTTACTGAGAAGCCCCAGGGCGCAGCAGGGTGGAGAGGCCATGGGGAAGGAGGGCAGTGGTGGGGGGTGCTGGGGCACCCCCAAGATGACTGGGCCAAACTGCTATCCCAGTGGAGGAACAGCTCTGTGTGGAGCTGAGAGGAGCAGACATGGGTGAGCGGAGTGGATCTGAATCCTGGCCTCCCCCGACTTCTTGTTAACTGCGGCTTCAGTTTCCCCATCTGCACAATGTAGAACCTTGCCCCCACCACGCCCCTTCTTCCTTCCCAGGAGACTAAAAAGGCCCGAAAGGAGATTGCTGTATATGCTTCTGGTAAGACAACTGACCACACCCTGCTGTAGCAGGGCTGCCCTCCTCCCTAATCTCAGTGACCCTGCAGAGGTCACAGATAGCCCAGCTCCTCTCAGACTCTCCTGCCCCAGGGAGGGGAGGGAAGAAACCCAGGTAGCCAGATGCCTTGTCTTCCCTGAATGAGCCCCCTTGCCTCCTTCCTGGTTTGGCAGGACTCGGGGACCACTCCGCTTGGGCTGGAGGAATACCCTAGCCTTTTATCAATGCTGCCCTGCTCCCCTGGTACAGAGGGTGCCCTGGCCCTGGGGAAAGGTTCCTTCAGAAGGGGACCCACTGGGCATGCCTGTTTGTGCTTTTTAGAGGCCTCTGAGGTGGACATCAAGGAAGAAACGCCTGAGGGCTGGGTCCCCCAGCTGCTGAGGAAGCTCTGGCTGGGCTGGTTCCCAGCCTCTGACTTCCCCAAAACTCAGAACCGTGAATGACAGAGTGTCCAATAAATCCACAGCTGCTGCTTCTGCAGGTCTGGCTGCCTCCTTTCAGGGGCCTCAAATTTCCACAAACTGAGTGTGGCTTTGTCCACGCTCCCTGCCCCAACAAGCAGTACAAGGTTACACAGTGTCATAGCAGAGCGATGACTAGGGCCAAGATGTCCTCCTCCAAGGTCCCCACATGGCCTTCTCCTGCTCTGGCCACCTCATTGTCACATGGGTTCAAGGTTGACCACTGTCCCTAGGTCATGCCTACGGCCCACAGGGCTTATTATTCCCTGTCCTGCCCAAGCCTCTCGAGAGCCCAGACTGACCTGGCCACTCAGAGGATGGAGCCCCAAGTTGGAGCCCAGATGAGTGTCCTCCTCCTGCTCCAGTGTGGCCGTAAGTGGCAACTTCTACTGGGCAGGGGTTGGATGAGCATCCCTAAGGGGCTGGGAAAGGAAGCCCATCAGATCTTGGGGCAGCTCATTCCCGGGCTGCTGTCAGGCCTCCCAGGGAGAGCATTGGCATCTGAAGACTGAGCCCTGGGTAATAACTCAGCCTGTCGCCTCCCAGCCATCCCTGAGTTCCCCACCTTTTGGGGCAGCAGCTTGTGGTGCTGGCTGAGCTGCTGGCCCATGGTACAAGCTGGGTGTGGCTGGGCCTGAAATGTGGGCATCTAGGCAGAGTTTCTAGGCAGAGTGGGGCCCTCCCCATCCCCATCAGGGCCTGACAGCTCTCACCAGCCTATTCGAGCTCCTCACAGCAGAAACCAGGATCTATTTATAGACTTTGTCACTAACCCAGGTAATCAGCATTGGGTTTCTAAAGGTGACTAGGGGATAATCTCTCACTTTCTGAGCCTCAGTATACCCCTCTCTCAAATGGGGTCAAATGACAGGTAAGGATGGATCAGGCTAGGGCAGAAGCTGGACCCGGGGAGGCTGCTGAGGCCCCGTCACTGCCAAGGGGCTGGTCAGGGGCCCCAGGTGGGACTCAAGCCAGGTTGCAGCCACCAGACTGGTTTATTGTACATCAGAGCTACTCCTGAGGAGTGGGTGGGGGGTTTGGTGTCCCCGTCTAGCGGGGCACAGCACAGAGCTGGTAGGGGGCTGGGGTCACCAGGAAGGCAAAGATACCATGGTCACTTGGGCGAGGCTGCCCAGGGGGCACCGAGAAGCTGAAGCGCTGCAGGAGGCAGGTGAAGAAGAGGAAGAGCTCCATGCGGGCCAGCGGCTCCCCGAGGCACAAGCGGCGGCCTGTGTGCAGGTGTGGGGGCTCTGTGAGCCTGGGGGCCTGCGCTCCACCCCACCAAGACTCCCTTGGGAGGGGGAGGCAAGCCAGGCACCCCATAGGCACCTGCTGAGAAAGGCATGAAGGCCTCCTGCTTGACGAAGTGGCCCTGGGCATCTAGGAAGTGCTCCGGATGGAAGCGGAAGGGCATCTTCCATATGGTCTCATCTTTCAGCACCGATGACAGGTTGGTGATGAGTGTTGTCCCCTGGCAGGAGATATCTGGCATGGGTGGGTGTGGACTGGGGGGGTGCCTGGATCTCTGCCACCAAACACACCCGGGGAGCACACACACTGCCTGGCACATACCTGGACTCTTCAAGTGACCCTCAGCCCAAGAAGCTTCTTGGCACCCTCCCTGTCCCCATGGCAGGGCCAAGTGACCTGCCTCCCATGGGTGTCCTGACGGCCACGTGTCCTCCAACACACTGCGGCGGCACACTTTAGTTTGTCTTCCCCACCTGACTGGGGCTCTGAATGGACAGGGCGGGCCCTGCCTCTGCTCATCTCCACACCCACCCGGGCTGGGACATTTGTTGCCTGTGGAAATGAGGATTGGGTGCCTTTGGCTCCCATCCTGGCCCCACCTAGCAATGGCCATACTGGGGCTACTGGTGGCAGGTGGTGCTGGGATGAGGGCTGCAGGCTTACCTTTGGGATGAGGAAGCCCTGCACTTCAATGTCACGGGATGTCATGTGGGGCAAGCCTAGTGGGATGATGTCCCCAAAGCGCTGCACCTCATGCACCACGGCCATGGTGAAGGGCATGAGGGCCTGATCCCCCATCTCTGGTCGCCGTGCCGGCCCTATCACCTCATCGATTTCCTGTTGCACACGTCCTGGAAAGATAAGTATCCTCAGTGGTCAGACCCAAGGTCTGGGCCCCAACCTCCTCCTGCCTCCTGTATAGGGCTGTGCCCGCATGGAGGAGGAGGTCACTGTGACCTCTGAGCTGGGGCTTAGCCTCAGCACAGAGCTGCTGCTGGTGGCCAAATCAGCCAAGCTCAGGGGCCTCAGACTGTCCCTTTCCTCCCTCACCCATCCCACCCAGCCCCCTGGGCTAGGCTCACGCTGTACATCTGGGTGCAGGATCATGAGGAGGAGGGCCCAGGCCAGCGTGGTCGAGGTAGTTACCATCCCAGCAGAGAACAGGTCAAACACCACTATGCGCAGGTTGTCGTCATTGAAGCTGCTCTCGGGGTTCCCCTTGGCCTGGGCCATGCAGGGAAGGTAAGCTCAGGGGCAGAGGGAGGGAAGGTGAGCTCAGGGGCAGAGGGAGGAAGACCCAAATGGCTTCCCACTCTGCTCCTGTCAGCCTGGATGGGTACCTGACCACAGGGTAATACACAGGCCCCACCATGCCTGGGTTCGCCTCCTGGGGCCCTCAACGCACACCCTTGTCCCTGTCACCTCACCTCCTCGATCTCATCCATGAAGACGTCAGTCAGGTCTCGGGGAGGCTGGGCCCGGTCTCGAGTCATCCTGTGCTCGGTGATCAGTTCATCCATCAAGGCCACGAAGGCCCTCTGCCCCGAGAAGACCTTGGCGGCCAGCCCCGGGATACGCAGGAGAACTGGGGCTGCTTCCAGCACCTGTGCAGGTCACAGCTATGGGGCCCTGCGGCCTCCTGGTGCTCAAGGTGTTCACCTTGACCATTCACCTTGACCAGTCAGGCCCCAGCTATCTCCAGGGTGTCCCCGTTATTGACCTTGCACCTCCCTAAGTTCTGGCCTTCACCCTCTCTCCTGACCCTGGGCCCAGGATAAACCTAAAGTCTGCATCTCATGGGCGCAGCTGCCTTCCAGTGAAGGAGCCCTCCTAAGCCCGCTGACCCGGGCCCCGCCTCTCCCTTCAGTGTTTGTCCTTTCCTCAGTTCTAGGCCTTTTCCCTTGCAGTTGCTTCTCTGGGAATGCCCTTTCTCCTCTGGCCCCCTACACTAATCCTCCTGCAGGAAGGCCCATTGCAGGGCTGAGGCCTCCTCAACGGAACTCGCCCTGCAGGGCTCCTCGGCGCCTACCTCCCCTCACCTGGCGCAAGAAGCCAACGTCCTCCTTCAGTCCCTTCTCAGTTAGTTCCAGCAGCTTGAGGATGCAAGGATCGTTATACTCAAAGCGGCGCCCGAAGGTGAGGGAGGCGATCACGTTGCTCACCGCTTTATTCAGGAAGGCGTTGGGGCTAAAAGGACGTCCTAGGAGGGGACGGTGCGGGTCAGGGCGTCGCCTCTCTCTCCTCTTCCCCAGCTTCTCCAAACTTGTCTCTTCTCCTGCCCCTTAGCCCCAGTACTCACCAGCCTGGTCGGAGAAGGCAGCACAGAGGCAAGAGGCCTCTTCGGTCACCCATTGCTCCAGAGACTTCTTGCCCATGCCGAAGTTGCGCAGTGTGGATACGGAGAAGCGCCGCTGCTCGCGCCACGCTCGCCCATAGCGCGCCAGGATGACTCCTGGGAGCGGAGCGGGCACATGGGCGCGGCTTGGATGAGCCGCGGCCCCGCCCTCTGCCGCAAACTGTGACCGCGGGTTCCCCGCCCCGCCCATTGTTCTGCTCACAGCCCCGCCCCCGTTCTGGGCAGGTCGCGCCACCTGTTCCGTCCCTGCTAACCTCGCCCTCCTCCCTCTCCCAAGTCCCTCCCCATTTGACACCCCCTTCCAGCTGGGGACAGGTCTCACTGTGCTCTCCCGCATTGCTCGCCAACTCTCCCCTGCTAGGGGCAGTTCCCGGCTCCACTTTTTGCTCTGCCCACCGTGGCCCCTTCCCCATTAGGGGAAGGTCCTGGCCCGCCCCCTGCCCCGCCCACTCTGACATCGTCTTCCTCATTCCTAACCACACTGACGTCTTTGTGCTCAGTGACCCAGGGCCTCCCTCTCAGCAAGACCCCGCCCTCTCCCCGCCCATGTTCCTCCCCCTCCACCCTTGACTCGGGCTCCTTTCTCCACCGTCCGCCCGTTCAGATTCGCTCGCTCTTCCCTGCACCGAACATTCACAACCCTGCCTCCGCTTGGCCCTGCCGGTATCGCCTCACTGCTGGCCCTGTCCCTGCCAGGATGCGGTCTCTTCCTTCCTCCGCTTGCCTTCAGAGCGCGGCCCCAAACCCAGGTGCTCGTAGACAGTCGCAGGTGGGCGGTCAGCGGTGTCCTGGCTGTGGTACACCAGCGCCTCGCGCACAGCCGCCAGCCCGTTGAGTACGACCACAGGCGTCCACACCTGCTGCAGGCTGAACACGTCCCCGAAGCGACGCCGCAGCTGCAGGCCAAAGGTCAAGGAGCATCGTCAAGCCTCGACCCGCGAGGGTGCTGGCCCAGCATCATGGTCTTAGTCTTGGGGGGCCCCTGGGCCACCAGTAGGGAGTGAGTGCAAGGGCTTTATCCAGCTTGTGAGCCCGGGAGGAGGGTCACATCCGCTATGGTCAAGGACTCCATGTTGGATCAGCCTACCCAGCTATGACTGTGCAAGGGTTACCAAAACTGTCAAATTAGCGTCCCATTTTACAGGAGGCCCAAGGTCTCACAGCAGCAAAAGATATGAACCAGATCGCTGTACCTCTCTCAACCTCAACTTCTGATTTAAATACAACTCATAACCAGACTCCTCTCCCCCGTTCTCAAGACCTTTCCTCCTGATGTATTCAGAAGGGGCTCAGGCTCACATAATTTAAGTGCTGGCCAACTGAATCCCCAACCTGCTGCCAAGTCCCCACCTTCCCTCAGTGCTTCTGCCTTCTCTGAACTTTGGAAAATCCAAACTGTCCTCAGGCCCTGCACGAATGCCCTCCGTCAGGGAGCCTCATCAGTCTAGTTCCTTGTCCAGCCTGTGACTGCATCCACCACCCACTGTCTGCTGCTAGGTGGGGTCCCCAGCTCCTCTGCTGCCCACCCTCCAACCCCGCCTTCATTTCTCACCTTGCTAAAGCTGTTAACTGGGTCCTGGAAGTTCACCTGCAGCAGGTTACCCAGCACAGGCAGTGGCATGGGGCCTGGTGGGTAGTGTGCAACCCAGCGTGAGCGCCGGTGCATCAGGTCCACCAAGAGCAGGAAGATGACGATGGCCATGGCCAGGGTCCCCAGTGTATCCCCAGTCAGCAGCCCCATGGTTGCCTCAGAGTGGGCTGGGCTCCTCACCACACCAGGCACCTAGGACCAGGAGAGGCAGGCACTCTCACCACATCCCGAGGGCTCGACCAGCCTGGGCCCTCTTTATCAAGGGAGGTGAGACTGGCCTTTGCCCTCAGCCCTGAACCAACCTGCCAGGGAGATTGTGTAGTCAAAGGGTGCAGGGGTGGTCGCTGTCCCTCCTGCTCTCGCCAGGTGCTTATCCCAGGGGAGTGGGGGAAGGATTCGAGAAGTCCTCCCCTCCCCTAAGCCTGACTCTCCAGCTCTGTAAAGATTCCAAAGAAGAATCAGGGGTCTTTGGACTTGATCCTGCCATCCACCGGTCACTTTAGGCTCACACTCCCTAATGTTGTCAGTCTCATCCCCAGAACATGTCCCTACCCTCTCATTATCACGTCTCCTCCTGAGTGGCCTTCACTTCTCAGGTTTGTTACTGGGCTTCACTGGTGCTCTAGGAGGTCACAGTGATCAGAAAGACCATTGTAGGGGGGATGAAGTTCTCGGTGTCCCCTCACGTCACATGAGTACACTCAAAAGACAGAATCACACACCCTTAAACCATTCACACCATCACATACTACTCACATGCACATATTTACACACCCATGAAACCACACACATTAACACATGTACCACTTACACACAGACCCAGCATCAAGCCCTCTAGTTCTCAGGGGCTGCCTGGACCCAACCCCGCTCCTCCCACCTTGAGGCTGCTGGCAGTACTGCTGGGGGACCCTCACCTGGCTGGCTGCTGGCTCAGCTTCCTTGGTTTGTTTTCACCTTGTTTTCCTTGGCCTGGTTTTCGCCTGGTTGTGGTTGTGGCTATGGTGAGTTTGAAGCTAGGGGTGGGGAGGCAGCAGGATTGTTTTCAGATTCCCTGGTCTCCCTGACGAGCCAGTTCCATGGCCCAGAGATGCCTTCCTAAGTTTGTTACAAGTTGGTCCAAGGACCTCCCAGCTCTTGTGGCCATCCAGGTGATGAATCTCCTTCTTGCCTGTGTCCATTTCCTGACTCGGAGAAATGTGGGGTGGGTGCTTTCCTTTGTTGACGAGGCTGCCAATAAGCTCAGGGCACTAGGGTAGCTTAGCATAGGATGTGACTGTCCTCGGAGGAGTGGGACTGATTCCTCCTCCTCATTATCTGTCCTTGAACATCAGCTGTTCAAACTCTAGAAGACAAAGGGTTGGAAACCAGGTGGAAAAGTAATTTATGCCCTCAGAGTCCTGCTGAGGACCACAAGGAAGGATTCTCAAGAGGCTGGCCTTCTCCTTCCCTCTGGGCCAAGTCTGCCCTGGCTCCAGCCCCACTCCTTCCAACCCTGACTCTGGTCTCTTTCAGTGGCTCCAGCCCTCAAGGAAAGGTGCAAACCTTGGTACCACCCTGCACCAGTGCATGCCACCTCCAGGCTGGAATTGTGGCTACCAGGCCCTCCCTTGTGCTCAGCCTCTCACCCCTCCCAAAGCAGGGGGGTGACTACATCATGCCAGGACAGAGCCTGCTGGCCTCAGTATCCTCCTCCAACAATGAAAGGGGTGAGATTTGAGGCAGAGTTTTTAAATCAGTAAAGCTGATGGGAACTCTGACACCCAAACCTACTCAAGCGTACAGGCACAGGAGCTCGGAGGGGAGGGAAGGTGACGTCAGGCCTCCTCACCCATCCCAGGGGTATATGAGGCAACCTCTCTTTCTGAAAACTGCTAGACTATTCCAGGGTCTTGGAGGTGCTCTCCCCCAACTTACACTCCCTACCCCTGTCCCCCCTGGTTCCCTCCCTCCCCCACTACTCCCCAACAGTGAGAGAACCAGGTTCTTCCCAGGGCACCTTCAGACGGGACATGGAGTGCTTGTGGTTTCCAGGTATTGGCTTTCAACATTTGCAATTACTGCTTGGTTTGTGAAAGCTGCTCCTGCCCTTCCAAATTTCAACATCTCCACTCTCCTATCAGGCCCAGGACCAGAGGGTAGCTAGCTGGGGCCCAAATGGGTCTTCCTCAGTTTACCTGCTTTCCCTGCATCTTGCTTTGGCCAAGGTTTGGATTTTGTGCCACCCTATCTGGATGTACCCTGTGCTGGTTGCTGGGCCAGGCACTGGCCACATGGTGGGAAGGCAATGGTGGGTCCCTGCTCCAAGGTGCTCATGACCAAGTGGAGGATTGGGAGCCAGAGAGCTGACATACCAGGCCAGCAGTGCTGGGACTGCTTTGAGGGTCATGGGGACATTGCTCCAGGATGGAGCAGGACTTTCTAGGAAGACTTCCTAGAGGGCTTCAGCTGGCTTGGTATTGCAAGACAGGGTGACCTGGAGCAGGACTAAAGCACCACTGGGAAACAGCAGGAGGCAGGTAGCTTGAGGCTAGGGCTTTGCAAGTCTGGCTGAGGACTGGATTGTGGGGAACTGGGGTCCCTGGGCCTCAAGGAGGCAGGGAGATCAGTTTTGAGGCCAGTCAACAGACCAAGAGGGTGAGACCCCTGGGCACCCTGGGGATTTCTCAGATCCTGCCTGTGGTCTCTCATTTGGCCTCAGCTGAATGTTCCTGTCCCAGCAGCAACTTTCCACCCAGGACAGCCAGAGAACCAGGTGGTGTGAGTGGGGCTGGCAGGATAGTCCAAGTGTTCCTCACAGTGGCTCTCAATAAACTGCCTTTATCTACGCTTTGTATTGGATGTGTCATGCTCTCCCCAAGCAGTCATTCTGATGGACATAAGGGCAGTGACAGACATGCCTGAAGCAGTACTCTTTTGATACTAGGGACCTGTTGTCCAGGACAGGCGGCCTTGAGGAAAACCTGCAATCATGAGGACTACGGCCTTTTGCAATCATTGTGCAATCGTTGCCTCTGTTCACGCGGCACTCACGTGCCAGGCACTGCTGCTCACTCTCCCCGGTCCTCCCCACACTCTGGAAGGCAGGTGGCTTTATGGTCCCCAAGGCAGTGTCTCAGGGATCATGCTAGGGGGTCAAAGTTACAGAGTACCACTAGAGTCTGTCTCAAAACTCATACTCTTATCTATGCTCTACACTGGACACAAACTTCTATGAGGGAAATTTTTTAAGTTACTGAGATTTATTATTTTAGAAACATACACCGCCTTCCCTGGTGGGCTTCTGCCGCAGAGGAGCTGCTGGGGCTGGAGGGATGAGCCCCTGCCCCCGCGCCACAGGAATCACCAGCACAGGGAAGGCTCATCTGGACACTGACCTGATGCTCAGGCTCCAGCGTGAAGTCAGCAAGATGACGGATCAGAAAGCCCGGGGCCCTGGGTCCCCCAAGCACCGAGACCCAGCCCGGGAACCCCGCGGGATGCGGAGCAACCCCCCCGCAGAGCCCCAGGGAGCCGGGAGGGAGTCGCAGCCCCCAGCGAGGGCGCTGGGAGAGTTGGCGTTTTGCTCGCTCTCCACCACCCTGCCCCCCTCGCGGCACAAACCCCCCAGTTCCAGCTCTTCCCTGGGGACGGGAGGACTGGAAGCTGCGTCTAGCTTGTCGCGGCGCCGCGGGCCCAGCGGTCTCACCTGACTCGCGGTACCGACTCGCTCCGCGCCCGCTGGGATCCAGGTGGAGGCCCAGCTGGGAGCTGCGTCAGCAGTTCCCGGGAGGCGCCGGAGGCGCGGCCGAGGAGCGCCACGACTGGGCGCCGCCTCTCGTTGTCTTATGGGCACAGGGCTTCTTTGCCTTGGCGACATGCCAGAGTTCTGGAGCTCGGCTGCACAACAATGTGTATGTACTTAACATTGGACGTGGCGCAGCAGGAAGTCTCGTTCACTGCTGGTGAGAACGCAAATGGTACAGCCACTTTGTAAGACAGTTTAGCAGTTCCCTACACAAAAACCTGCATATTGATGTTTATAGCAGTTTTACTCATAATTGCCAAAATCTGAACCACGATCTTTCAGTAGGTGAATGGATAAACTATCCAAGCTGTGGAATATTCTTCAGCATTAAAAAAGAAATGAGCTCTCAAGCCATGAAAAGACATGGAGGAAACTTAAGTACTTAATTACCAAACAACAGAAGCCAATTTGAAAAGGCTACATACTGTCTGACTCCAACTCTGTGACATTCTGGAAAAGGCAAAACTAAAAGATCGGCGGTTGTCAGGAGTCAGGGGAGGGACGGAGGGATGAACAGGCAGAGCACAGAGGATTTTTAGGGCAGTGAAGATTCAGTGTGATACTGTCATGGCAGATACATGTCATACATTTGTCCAAACACAGAATGTCCACCACCAGGAGAGAACCCTAATGTAAACTATGGGCTCTGGGTGACGATGTGCCAATGGAGGTTCACCAATCATAAACAGCACCACGCTGGTAACTGGGGAAGGCTGGGCTGGGCATGTGGGTGGGGCAGAGGATACATGGCAAATCTCTAACTTCTCCACACTGCTATGAACCTAAAACTGCTCTAAAAATAAAGTCTATTAAAAAAATACATGTTAACTCAAAAGTGGCAGGAGTTTCAAATACTCATGAACTGTTGAGGCTTCCTGCAGAAGCCATGAAGCTGGAGTCTGGAGGGAGGTATGGAAAAGGGCCAGTCGTCGGTGAACAGTCTTTTTAGTACCCAGTTTGAAGAAGGACCTGGAAGAGTCAGAAGTGCCTCACTCAAGGTGCCATCAGCAAGTCAAAAGATACACCTTCCCTTTTGTGGTTTAGCCCTTAACACCTGAAATCTATCAATTTCATTTGAACTGTGTTAATGCCAAGTCAAGAATAGAGGGCAAGCCAAGGAGCTCAAAAAGCCATCATTCCTATGCAGGTCCCATGGCCCACACATGGCACACCCACCCACGTCTTCATCCTGGCAGAGCAAAATGAGAAATGGACTGCTCTGCCTGATGTAGCCATTATAACGAAATTAATCTGCCATTTCTGTAGGCTCAAATTGATGAGCACACAAGAACTCATTTATAATTGCTTGTTTCTACTTCACAACATCCCTTCCAATATTTCTATTCTCTAAAATAAAGTCCATTAACACTGCATTATTTTTTAATAACTTTTGAAATTAATGTTGATTGGAAATATGCCCTTGTATCAACTTAAGTAAATCCGGCCATCCCCATACACTGGCTGAGTTCCACCCTCCAGGCTGAGTGGCAGACAGGAGCCCTTGGTTTGCTTCATTCCAAGTTCTGCTGCAAGGGCTACGCGGCCTGCACAGCGCCTGGCGGCTGCACCAGTCAGAGAGCAAACACCTCTGCGGCAGAACCAGAGCCACCCAGGGGCTGGGATGGGAAAAGAAAGAGACACATTCGCTTTAGAGTTAAAAGAAAGGAAGAAAGAAAGAAAGAAAACAAGGTTAAAATGAAGTTTATTATTTTTTTGATTTTTTTGTTTTGTTTTTTAAATAAAACTGTTTGTGAAACAGCTATTTTATCCCCACGGCAGAGTGACCCCTGAAAGATGCACTAACCCCTTCTTAAGGCCTTAAGATTTTTTTTGTACTTTTTTCTTTTTTTTAAAACTCAGATATTTAAAAATTATACAATTTACAAAACAAAACAAAATACAACATAAAGAATCATGTAGCATGGGGCTGCTCAACTGACAGACCCCCCTTTTCCTTTATAAAAATGAAAGCAAAAGAGAAAAGGGTGGAGTGGGTGTTCCTGGTCAGCTTACCCCACACGATCACACCCAACACTGCCCTTCCCCGTGTCCACCCCTACAGCTTAGGCTTCCGTCCTGTCCGTCCTGGGGGTCAGGGCACAGCTGCTTGAAGTGTGCCCAGAGGAGGCCATCCCTTGACCCTGCTGGCTGAGCCACTTAGTGGGATACTTGGGGCTCTCACTGGCCACAGTGACCCGGGACATAGCTGTGACCTTGGGGCATCTGCCAATTTCACCTCCCAAAGAAGAAAAAATTAAAAAATAATAAATAAATAGTGTTTCTGGAAATGAAAAAAATTTATTTTTGTCTTTAAACATCATTCTTCCACTCCTGAAAACACAGACCACCTCCACTTCCCTCCCCCTCAACTTTCTCACTTTGAGACAAATTAATGACAAAAGAATGGTTTGGTGTGGTTTGTCCGTTCTTTCGACCCTGGGTCTAGAGTCTCTGAATTGTGTGAGCTGGGCTAAGGATTCAAGCCACCTCTGTCCCTGTGAGATGAGAGTTTGTTCAGTTCAATTTCACATTTAAATTTCACTTATTGGAACAAATTTGGAGTTCTTTAACTAGATAATTTTAAAATAGAATCAAAAGGGATAGCGCACCTTTCATTTAAACAAAGTCTTTCCAGACTAAAAATAGATTTATATATATATATTTTTATCCCTCCCTTTTAATTCCCCCCACCCTTTCCCATCATCCCAGCCCTCCCCCCTCCCCCCAAATTGTCACTATGGAGATTGTGTCCATGGAAACAGCCATTCCAACTTCTTGGGTCTTTCTTTCCTGTGGTGTCACCGGTTTGAGTGATGTAAGAACTTAGGAAGGAAGTGCTGGCACGGGCAGGCACGCGGGGTGGGGCAGGGTGGGGTGTGGCTGCACAGGAGGACCATTTCCATTCCATCACGAGTGTCCACCACCTTCTCTCATCTCCACAGTCTCACCTGCAAGACAGAACAGACACTGGGTGCTAGGGACCTTCACGCGGTGCTGCAGCCAACAGCCCTTGCTCTGTGGTGGTCCTGAGGTCGGGGTGGGGAGGCTTTCTGTAGGGTCCAGCAGCCGCAGACCCCTGTGAACATGGTGCTGGCACTGCAGATCCCCAAGGCCAGTGGTGGAGTCACTGTGTGGCTCTCGGTCTGGGACAGGGAAAGGCAGCAATGACCTGACCAGCTGTGCAGGCCCTGGACTCTGAGTGCCCCTCATTGCATGTCTACCGCCCCAGGCATGGAAGGAATCGAGACCAGGAGAGAATTCCCTGACTCCCCAGTGAGGCGGCCCTGGAGTGGGGCAGCTCTCGAGTGACCCCCACTCAGGCCCATGCCTCCTGGGGCCTGAGGCTGGGCTCAGCACTTGGTGGCAGGGACCAGTGCTCACAGAGGTGGCTGAGCACCCAGCCCATCTAGAAGAACCGGCTCAGGACCACTTCACGGCTGCTTCCAGTCCAGGTAGTCTTTATCCATAACAGAGAACACTCCCCCCAGGGGCTCTGACAGGGAGGGCTGGTCTCAGCTCATCCTCTGAGTCTCCCCAGGCCCTTGCTGCTGGCGTCTCCTCTTCCAGCCCAGGCTCCAGGCTGAGGAAGACTATCGTGGTGACTGTTGGTACGTGGGGTTGTACCAAGGGCCTCCTCAGAATGCTTCATGGGTCATTTATGTGCAAAAGTCTCAGAGAGACACAGCAGTTTCTTAGGAATTCAGTCCAGAAAAATTAAGCCAGAAGCCAAGAGTGGTGGCAGCCTCATCCTCACTTGTTTTCTGCCAGTCACAGAACTCTTAGAAACTGTGTGGGGCTCACCTCGCTTCTTCCTCAAACCCTCTTTGGTGCCCTCCTTTAACAAATAAAGCTCAGGAAAATCCAGGCATCACTATCCTTTTTCTGTTTCTGTAAAAGTTACTAATATGCAAAATAGTTAAGAAAGTTGGTCTGTCTGCACGAGCTAAGAACAGACATACTTACCTGGGCCAGAAAGATATTGCTAACTGCTTGGCAGAAAACACAAATAAACAGAAAGAGACTCGTGGAGACAGTAGGACAATGGTGCCACCCTCAGACAAAAGCAACCCTGGGACTCCAGGTGCCAGGGCCTGGGGATGTGGGCCAGCGGCTGAGCCATCCATCCTGCCATTCTCAGGATATTCACAGTGACAGCGTGGCTCTCCTGGTACCGAAGTTGCCTGTGGGCCCAGGAGGTCGCCTGCATGATCCATGCCTCCTCCTGCTCTGGCACACTCTCCACCCCTGACTCTGGTTTCCTGAGGCCACGGCTGCCAGGAAAGGGGAGAGAAGCAGCCTTCTCTGGTGCCACCCCAGGAATCAAAGGCCTTTTGTAAATGCAATGACAAGGGGAGAGCTAATGGGGCAGCTCAAACAACGACCAGAGGGTCAAAATCTTGCTGGGGATGTGGGCCACTGGCATCAACAGAGGACAGGTGCCACGCACACTCTGCAGGGAGGGACAGCACAGGGCAGGGTTTGCCCTCCCCCCAGTGCCCGGCACAGTCTTTGGTCTGCACCCTATCCCGCTCATTTCTCAGAACAGCAGGCCCCCATCCTCAGAATGAAGGCTGTCTCGGCACCCAGGGTCCACCTGGCCAGTAGGTTCTTGCAGGCTGCTGACTCTGACTCCTCCCTTGGTGCCACAGGGGTGGCTGGTGGTCAGGGGAGCCCTGGCCTTTCCGCACCTCCTGCCTGGGGCTCTGTCCTCTCACCTTCTCAAAGGGTACCTCCCCCCAGGTTCTGCTACTAGACTGGCTCAAACACATGATACGCTGAATGTTATGAGACCCTAACTTCTCAGTTACTTCTAAAAACTGTTCCTTCAATGAGGAGAATGGGAAGAAAATTCTTTAAGCATCTACTAGATGCCAGGCACTATGCTAGGAGCAGTATACACATTATTTCATAGTAACACTGAGAGGCCTGACCCCCACATCTTGGAGATGAGGAGGTGGAGGGAGGTGACACACATGGTCCAAAGCCACGTGGCTGGCTAGAGCTGGGACTGGG